ATTGTTAGGTTTAGATTTATTTAAAATATTTGAATGCATGAAAATAAAGCACATTATGATATGTTTCGGGATGTTTTATTACGAACTGGGTGAAATATTTTAAAATTAATTTACATAACACATAAGCTTTTATACCGAGTACTGAGAATATAATTTGTAGTTACAGTACTTGATTATGATGACTGGGGAAGAGGAGTGCCAGTGGGAACAAATGCATAATTCTGCTCAGTACATTTATGAGATCACGGAAATATCTAATCAAATATTAAAATTGGATATTTTAGATTTAATTGGTTTATGAAGAACAATTATTTTTTTTAAATAAGTCTTGCAAACAATAAATTCTCGCAGTTCTTCTACAAAAGTTAAAATGATACCCTTTTGACCGTTAGAGGCAAATTCCCCACACACCTACGAGTATACTCTCTTGGGATAAAACCGTGGAAATTTCACAGAGAAATCTTTCAGCAACTTTTCATCGATAAAATCTTATCTCTTATTATGTAATGTCTTTTGACCCTTTTGTTCTGATCTGATCTTCACTTACCTACGACGAAATTGTATTAGCTCTGTTATGCGCTTTGTAACCCTTAAAAATCCATTTATTTTTATAAAATGGGTCATATCAGAATTTAAATCAATGGGCCATTTAAAATTGTGTGTTTATTTAAGTTAATTAATGAAATTTTTGTAGCCCATTCTATGAAATATCTTTTTCAACTCTTTTGTTAATTGAAACTTTGGTTTTACTAACAATAAAATATGATGTGGTTTTAAATAACTGTGAAGTAAGATAAAGGTATTTTGATATAATGTAGCTTTATTATTATAATTGTCTAATTAGATTGAATGAATTTGAAATATTTTAGTGAAATATGAGCAAATCTCTGAAATTGTAACCTTGTACGATGCTCATTAAAGCATCGTATAAGTTTACCATTTCGGAGATTTAAAATAATATAATACGCGATTCAATGAATATAAATTACTAAATGTACTCGTAGCTTAAAGTTGTAATGACAAAAGGTTGGAACGGCCATAATGTCATGCCTCTAGATATATAAATGAAATATGGGCGAGTAATAATCAGGATTTGCTAAACTGGGCGTGCTACTATGAAGGCACTGCCATGCACTTGGGTGTGCCTTCACCGAGCAAGTCAAGCATTAAACAAACATACACAATCGTATCTTCAGATGATTCCTATCTTGGAGCCATTAAGGATGTTTTCAAGTCCCCTGTAACTTCGTTGTAAATAAAACCTAAAGCCTGAATTTTCAGTGTACTAATGAAATAAAATAATGACAATCTAAAACTAAAAAAGGAATATTATATGTTGATGTGAATGGTCCTGGTTTAGCTTAAGAAAGTTAAGGCCAAATATTGATCAAAATGAAACTTATAGCTGTAATTTTGTAACTGTAGTTGTTACTACTTATTCACAAGTGCTACTTTTTTTTTAAGACCCCCGCGTTAGAAATATATCTTGAGTCGCGGGGGACATTACATACATGAAACGGATACACAGAACATCCAGACTAAGAAAAACAATTTGTGGATCACACAAAGTGTCATCCCATGTGGGGATCAGACCCACAACACTATGCGTAGTAGTAAGCGGCATGGAGACCGCTTAAACAACTACGCCATCCGTGCAGTCAAAGTGCTACTTATATCACATTTTTGTTTTTAGGAATAAGGGCCTTAACGCATATGAGGAAGAAGAATGTACGTAAGATAAAACATTAGGTCCCTTAATAACGCCTTTCATTTTCTCTATGTCTCATCCTATTTTATAAGTATGCATGATAATATGTAAATTAATCTCTTCCGATCGAACATTTTTTTAAACTACTGTAAACTTCATACTGACTGAAATCACACTATTAACGGAGACTACTGTCACATCATCACATCAACAGCTTTTAATAGTCCACTGTTGGACTTAGGCCTCTCCTTAGATAGGAGGTTTACTGTATCTTGACTACTGCAGACTACTGTATTTTGACTTTTTACCATTACCATGACTTAGCATGGTAAGTAGGTAGTCAGTATAAAGTTCTAAAATTGCTGTACTAGTGCGGTATTAATTGAGGCACCATCAGATAATTATAGGAAATTTGCCCGTTACGAAATTAGAGCTAAGTTGTATGTAAGCCATGTTTTATGCATTATGCACTTGCAAAGGAAATGAGATAAAGTTTCATTGAAAAGAAAACCGTTTCAAAGGACCCCATGAAACATAAAATTGTAGGTCGCGGGTAAACTCAATCTCTAAAGTAAGACAAGAGAGACCTTAAAAAATATTAATGGAAGGTATAGGCTTAGGTAATTATACAGAACTTAGATGTAGGGAACACTAGTTCAGTTCTGGGAAAACATGATTCACTCACGTTATTTTACTTAAAGCAATCGACACAGGAATCTACATATACAATACACTCTAAATCGATAACAGAACATCTAATTTTAAATTTTAACTTTAAACCAAGACCAGTTATGCAAAACTGATTGCCAACTTTTATTACAAAGACTTAGCGTAACTAAACGTAGACGTAACTTTCAATTTTAAAAATAGAAGTGTACGAAATTACTATTTTTATTTATTCTAAAAAAGGTAAAGTAAGGGTTCAAGAAAAAAGGTTCAATACATGTGTTTTGGTAAAGGCTGAACAACTAGGCCAAAATATGTTGTAAGGGCCACAATCTATAGTTAATCAGATATCAGGTGCATTCCTTTTAGGAAAGCAAAAGTATCAGTGACTGGGTAAACTGGATTTTTCTCACCGAATTTTGTTTTAATACTCTGCAGCAAGATGCAAAGCATTAATGATATCTCATGTAACTTAAACAACGTCTACTTACAAATACTGCTTTGCTGCTTACCTGGAAATGAAAAATAAAAAATTAGTATGAAAATAATCTTTCTATTGAGTAAGACATTCCATGAATAACATGAAATATTTTTCTGAAATTCTTATGATTAACAATCTTAACTATCTTATACAAAGCATACTAACATGATGTGTTTGCCTTCTTTTTTACGTTAAATCGGGCAGACAAGCAGACAAGTCAACTGATGGAAAGTGACCATTGCCGCCCATGAACGTCTGCAACTCAGGAGTCACAAACGCGTTGCCGGCTTTTTAGGAAGGAGTACGCTCTTTTCTTGAAGGTCGTATCGGTCCGCAAAATACCGCAGACGATAATCCGTTCCATAGATTAGTTTTGCGGGGCAAAAAGTGTCTCGAAAAGCGCATAGTAGTGAGGCGCCAACTATCCAGGTGATGCGGATGAAAATTTTGCCGCTGAAAAACGTTGCAGCTGGTTTTAGTCCGAACTCACTCTACATGATACATGCGATAGAGAATACAGAGTAAGCCACATCTCTGCGTAACGCCAAGGGATCGAGCCGATCGCAGATGTTTGGGCTATCGACGATACGAGTCGTTCTTCCTTGGATGCGGTCTAGAGGGAGAACCTGGTACTGATGTGCCCCTGTATAGAGATAAGAGCAGTCTTCCATATGCGGCTGGACTTGCGCCTTATAGAGCTAAAGGCGGTGGACCGGAGGGAAATACTGCCTCGATCTGTTCAGCACACCGAGCTTTTTTGAGGCCAATTTGACCTTATCCTCTAAGTGTTCCCGAAACTGGACTTTGCTCGATATGTTGACCTAGGATTCCGATGCTGGCTGAGACAGTTAGGGAGGTGCTCACAAACCGAGGTGATACGATAAATGGTATCTTCTTTACGGTAAACGCACAGACCTGTTTTTTTTTTGGGTTGAACTGACTAGATTTAGTTGGCCTCAATCCGAAACCTACGCTAAGGAAGTTTTAATTTCAGACACAAGTTTGTTTCGACTGCCGACTTTTTTTACTATTTTTGTCATATGTTAAAATCCTCAATGAAGAATGACCAAAAATATTCCCACCAAAAATGAACGCAATTCCCATCAATAATAAAATTCTCACTGAAACCCATTCTTGAATTCATGATAAGCGTTTCTGCACGAATTCTATATTTGCAGAGCACAATCTTATTTTACATAATTATAGGAATATATATTGCTAAGTGCAGTGCAGTCGCAGCGTCCATAGACCCCCGCCTGTTCTTAAATGACACAAACCATAGCGCAGAGACCATCTTCTGCTTCAGAACCTCTTGTCACTAACCAAAGTGGGTTTCAATAGTGGAATCCAAGCTAGAATGCTCACCACTAAACAGAATATAAACGCTGCTTTATATAATTTAAAGCTGTTCGGCAATGAGTAGTATACTTGAGCATGGATCTTGAGACTTAGTTTCGCCAGTAATATCCAAAGTCGTCTACTTTTAAGCATTATTTCCTTCTGAACTATATTTTGGCGGATACTGTCTCCACACCTTAGCTCGTACGTAGGCACTCGTTTCAGATATTCTGGCAATAACTGCTTAATATATGGCATCTTCCTGCATTCATTTGCCATTGATTTATTTTAAGTTCCTCTTGCGGAGTATAAGTATTTCACCAAAACGATACGAGCAAAGCGTAGATGGCGTAGAACCTAATCAATCCAACATTCTCTATATTTCTGAGAAACTAAATTTTGTCTAGTTTAAACGATTAGAATGGAAGTCACTGTATCTTAGGTCGTCTCTACACAGCAGCACCTTAATGTTCTAAATCTGTATCTGTTCTAAAAAAGGGTTCACATGATGTGTTTTTAGTGAATGCAAGCTTTGTATGTGAAGACAATGGGGTAGTGACCGTACCTGCAAAATATTGTACTGCATTGTACCGTACAATCGAATCTATAATAATATTGTGAAAACATCTTTTCATAACACTTTTTATTTATAAAACGAAGATTTCCTAGTTTCGCTTCACATTCGAAGTTTTATTCAATACCGTAACATCAGTATTTATCAGTCTTGTGAAACTATTGCCGAATATTTTGTGCCATTGGTTAATATCACTAATTTAAGTACCTTTGATTAGTTTTATAAATTTCACTATGAAGGATGATGAGCTGGGTTAGTATCTATTTTAGTTTTTAATAAGTGTATCAAAATTATCTTTACTCTTAAAGACTGTTAAAGTAACACTTTAGTTATTAAAAACTTGAAATAAAAGCATAGCTTTTTACGAACCTATCTGTTCCTGATTCTGATCGTTAATTAATTCGTATTTTAGCAATATGGTCAAGTTTACTAATTAGTGTTTTGGTTATAACGGCAAATGGACGATATGAGAATTCAAACGTGAAGCAGGATTGGTGGGAGACAGCAGTATTCTATCAGATATATCCTCGATCATTTATGGACAGTGATGGAGATGGAATTGGCGACTTAAACGGTAAAAATATTTTCTTTTATGCTAATGTAGGCTTAGTTCTTGTAATTCTTTAAAAATACAAATTTGCATTTAAAGCAAGACAAATTAAAAAATAAAACAAGCTTCAGGACCATTTACCACTCCGAGTTAAAATGTCAGTGACAAGGACCATTGCGGACTGTCACTTATCTTTTTATGCTATCCAAGTTAATTAATCTACCACTAATGCTAAGCCTTAGCTTCTTATCTCCTCAAATTTTCACAGCACGCACTTTAAGGACATAAAAATAAATTCTTTGAAAAAAGCTGCGCTTAGCGTTTTCGCTTCCCTTATAAACTGAACAATAACGAAATGGAAGTAGCTTCGTGATGTTCCTTATAAAACAAAAGAACGTGAAATCTTTTGAAACGAAAATACAGAAAAGGAAAGGAACACGAGTATCACACCTGTTATTTTGAATTTTTAGGTAAAATTATAAGATTATTTAAGTTATACACAAATCGCTCGTTTTCAGTTCCGTTGGGTAGTTGTTTAGGGAGGTATGCAATAGGTCCCTTAGAAATAAATACTTACCTTAAAACATGTAATCGACTTTAAAACGATACTTTGAATTATTTAAATAAGTAACCATTAAAATTGAATCGAAATAAACATGAGGAATAACTCAGCCTCCATGAATAAGAACTGGAAAATACATTTACGAGCTCCTATAGCTTCATTTCAAGCTATCCAGTTCTTTATAAAGTTACAATTCATCAAGTAAAGTGTTTTTTCTAGGTATAACATCACGTTTAGAATATTTGAAGGAGCTTGGAGTAGACGCGACCTGGCTCTCACCAATTTTCAAATCACCCATGAACGATTTTGGTTATGACGTCTCAGATTATTACACAATTCAACCAGAATATGGTAGTATGGAAGACTTCGAACAACTACTGAAGAAAGCTACAGACCTGAGTGAGTCTTATTATTATTCATTGCTCAATCCATCAAGCAAATTTATGCATTACCTACCCACGACTGAATTATCGAAATTTCTTTGGCGAATATTGGTTAACGGCGTAGATCGGTTTTTTAAACTTTTCTAATAAGATTTGTTGGTACAATTTGGCTCGTTCGAATAATTTTAACAATTTGTTTTTGTGTTACTGAACAATTCATCGAGACGAAAAACTTAAGAGTTCTTTTTTCATTTATTAAATACGGATATCCTCTTTGTTCTCGGTTTTTTGCATTTTATTTGCTTTGTTGAATTGTAAAACGGGCTGAGATGGTAATGGTGCTGGTTTTACAGTACTTATAGCTGTTTGTATGGTTACTCTTTAAATACCTTTTGTACCAAATTGTGTTTAAAATATTAAAATACAATGACTCTGTAATCCCTTTTTAAAAGGTATAAATTACTTTAAAATAGCGTCTAAATCATGATGTATTGTTATAAACTGTATATTTCATTCTTAAATTGTCACCCTTAGGGGTAGATTTGCTTTAAATTTGAATTGGAAAAACGGGAAGTATACTCTTTAAAATTAATAATATTTTCCAAATAGCTTCATAGAGAGTTCACGGAGTCCTGAGGGAATATACATAAAAAAGAAGCGTATAGACACATTTTCCATTTCTAAATGTAAATTTTCTGATTACGAAAGTATTTGCATTATCCTTTTACTTTATCGATTTTAATACACGTGTTGTTATAATTACATAAAATTGTATGTCTCACAAATTGGAAGTTTATATTGTTCTCAAAATTAAATAAGACTAAATTGATTTCAGACATAAAGGTTGTGTTAGACTTTGTGATTAATCACTCCAGTAACGAAAGCGATTGGTTCATCAAGTCAGCTAACAGAGACGAATATTATAGCGATTGGTATATTTGGGAGAACGGTCACATGAATGATAAAGGACAAAGAAGCCCGCCGAATAACTGGGTATGTAAACGTGATTTTTTATATGCATAGTAATTACCGGTCCAATTATGATCACATCATTAAATGCATCTTAACTATTTAAGAAGTCCTTTGGTCATATGACTATGTTATATTAGTGCTAGTATGATTTTATGAAATAAAGAGAACTGGCAACGTGAATCTAATTACACGCTTTATATTAGCTTCACTTGTATATTTGTATGTTTGTTTGTATGTTTGTTTGTAACCAAATGCTTTGGGCGTGATTTTGACTGACTTTAAACGGTCAGAATTCGTTCAAACTTTGTAGATATATCGAGGACCGATGACAAGACACTAATTTAAAAAAAATAATTAAAAAGAAATAGTTTAAAAAAACTAAAAGACACGCTTTTTATAGAAAACCAAAAATATATTTTTTTTTTCGAATTTTTCCAATTTTTTTTCTATTTTTTAGTAAAACTATTTTTTTTTTATATTATTAATAGCTCCTTTAACCCTTCTATTGAAACTAGTATGTGGACGTGATTCCCGACGTTACTACAGTGCACTTTCTCTTTGCTTTTAAAACTGTTACGTTGGTGGTTTCAGATCAGTGTCTTCAGAAAAAGTGCTTGGACCTACATGCCATCCAGAGATCAATATTATTTACATCAATTTGGAAGCGGGCAACCAGATTTTAACTTCCGAAATCCTGTTGTAGTTGACGAGATGAAAGTAAGTCTTTTTTTTTCTACTTGATATTTGATGACCTTTGTAGAACATCAGTAGGTAGTGCATTTGTCTGCCAAATATATCTGTTAGCATTGGTTTAGGTATTTAGTGCCATGAGTTTGTTTGCCCTTTCTTCTCATAAGGCTCAACCGATTGGAAACGGGCGGTTGTAGATCGGCACAGGCTTATCATAGATTTTGCATTGGTTTGATTTTTGTTAAATTTATTTGCTTACTATTTGAAAAAAACAGAGATTGTTGCTTTTGTGTGTGTTGATCTATGACTTTAGAGCCTACATAAAAGACGATTTCAAACAATTTTGAAAATTTTATGAAATAAAGGAAGTTTGAGTTTGAGTTTAAAGTTTGAGTTTAGTTTTGAACCTAGTATGTGGCTCATACCTCAAATTTTGATTTACATACATAGATACCATTTTTTGATTTTGACAATTTTTGATTGATTTGTACAAATTTGAATATTACAGAGTGCCATAAAATTTTGGCTAGAGAAAGGAGTTGCCGGTATGAGGATTAATGCTGTCAACTATCTATTTGAAATAGATAAAGATTCTTACGGTGGAAGATATCCTAATGAGCCTTTGACAGGAAAGCCGGGGTTAGGTCCAGATGATTATGGATATCTTGAGCACATCTATACAAAGGATCAAGAAGAAACTTATGAAATGGTTTCACAATTGAGGGATATTTTTGATGCGATTACTATTAGGGATAACATGACGAGGTGAGTGATTTTAAAACAAACAAATCTTTTAATTTTGAATTCAGTTTTATGTACGAGTACAAAATTAAGCAAGTAAAAGTTTTTATTTTGCAGCTTTGGTTACGCTTGAAAAGACCATAGAAAAGTAGGGTTTTGGTGTCAAATTAATTGCCTTCACAGTCAGTACACAATAGCACAGTATACAGTAGCTGAATATTTTTTTAATTAATTTAAACTTGGACTAAATGAGTGATTATAGTAGAAAGTTTGTACCGCAAAAATGATGATAGCTCGGGTGATGCCCTATACACCGGCCACCCAATATTTCTCGGGTAAACGTCATCGAGAGTCGAAACAAACTTGTGTCTGAAATTGAAACTTCCTTAGCGGAGATTTCAGAATGGGGCCGACTAAACAACCCAAAAAAGACACAAGTCTGTGGATTCACCGCAAAGAAGATACACAAAAAGAACACTGTTCTCATCTCTATGCAGGGGCCCCTCAGTACCAGCTTCTCCCTCTGGACCGCATCCAACGAAGAGCGATTCGAATCGTCGATAGCCCAAACATCTCCGATCGGCTCGATCCCTTGGCGTTACGTAGAGATGTGGCTTCACCCTGCATTCTCTATCGCATATATCATGGAGAGTGCTCCAAGGAATTGTTCGGACTAATACCGGCCGCAGCTTTACGCCATCGTTCCACACGGCAACTTTTCAGCCCCATCACCTGGATAGTTGGCGCTCCACTACTGTGCGCTTTTTGAGTCATTTTTTGCCTCGCACAATCAATCTGTGGAACGGGTTATCGTCTGCGGTATTTCTGGACCGAAACGACCTTTAACCCTCTAAGAAAAGAGCGTACTCCTTCCTAAAATGCGGGCAACGCGTTTATGACTCCTGAGTTGCAGACGTTCACGAGTGGAGATAGTCACTTTCTCTCAGGTGACCCAGACAGGTGACTCGTCCGCTCCCTCTGACATTAAAAAATGTAAAAATATCTTCCAGATCATATATTGAATTGTAATTTTATCAAAACTAAAGTTTTTTATTAAATTTATAGAGTTATGATGACGGAAGCCAACACTAATGTCAAAAATGCTGTAAAATATTATGGAGGCGGAGTTCACGCAGGTTCTCAAATACCATTCAATTATGCCCTTGTAGATGATTTGAGTAAGGATTCTGATGCTAGAGATTTCAAATTTGTAATAGACCATTGGCTTACGTACAAACCTTTACATGCACATGCTAACTGGATGGTAAGCACACAGTATTATTATTATTATCTTAATTCGTAAATACATAATAAGATTTTACAAAATTATCTGAGAATTTATCGAATTATAGAAAAATTACGATAACCAGAATTTCAGAATACCGCTTAGAGAGAAAAACTTTGTTAAAACAGGGTTTGAATGATGATGATAATAATTTCAACTGACGTCATCTTCATTATTATCGAAGACGTTTTTTATTTCATCCAATATTTTAGTGTATTTTTTTCAACGAGCAACGAATGAAATTTATTTTTCGTTTTATATTTTAAAAATAATACTGCAAAAGTAGATTTGTTCCTTAGCTGGTTAAAATGGCAACTGTATAGAACTGATAACCACCGGTGTAGACAGATTGTCGAAGAGAGTAGATGTCACTGTGGGCATCGCAGAAATTGAGAAAAAGATAGAGTTGAATCTTTGGGCTCCACAGTTAGAAGTCTTTTGATTGATTTAATCATGATTATAAACTTAGCAAAATCTCAACACTTTCAATGGTGTATAAAAAGCAAGGGTTACAATGCCACACTATTAGGTGTTAGGTATAGACTATCAGGTTTTTTAAATAGTTGACTTCAGATCAATGATTTTTTACATAATAGAGTTCACTAAATTGACAAGTAGGTAAAATGTCCTTATTATCTCTTCATTATAATATAGTTACGTGGTAATGAGTGTGCGAATTCATAATATGGTGAAAGTATAGACTAAAATGTTTAAGACTGTTTTGTTTTAGACTGGCAACCACGACAAGAGCAGAGTGGCATCGCGGTTTAGAACTGAACTAGTTGATGCCTTCAATATGTTGGTACTTCTACTACCTGGAATCGCTTTCACGTACATGGTAAGTTAATTGAAACTTACAAAAATCTTCCTTCATTTATTGACAAATAAGAAATCAGTATTCATATGTAATCCACAAATTTTCTCTCCGATTCTTTTTCTAATTATATTTTCCTGTTCACAATACAAGCAAACAGAATAATTAAAACTTTTATTTTACATGATATTTAAATTGACATTACGCCTTTGCCTGGATTCTCCATATTATTTATCTTTTATACAGTGTTCTGTTTCATCCTCACACACCCTCTTATCTCAAAAAAACGTTTTGAGTTCTTGCACACCACACATTGCAGGGACCTGAGGTCACCGGATAATTTAAAACTAAAAATGCCAAATCCTTTCACCCAATTTGCAGACAAATCTTTTACTGTGCAAGCAGTAAGACTCTTGAACAACTTGCCTGAAACAATCCTATCTATAAGCTAATTGCCTGCTATTGCCTGGTTTTAAAATACTATTAAAGGATTTTTATCTGTCATCATAATCACTGTTAGATTCATTATATACTCGTAATATATTATATATTCTAAATCTGTATGTGTTTGTGTGTATGTATGTATGTGTATTTGTATATGTATAATGTGCATAGATGTATATTTGAGTATGAATGTCTTAATTGATATTATTAAATATTCACATGATAATATGTTACATGTATGTGTACTACCCTAAACTATTAAATACCTGAAATCCGTGTTAAGGTTGCCTAGAAGAGATCGCTGTGAGCGATAAGACCGCCGATTGTTACGTCTACTTATTTGTAACTCATCTTTTGTTATTTTCTTTTTGAGTATATACAATAAAGATATAAATTAATAAATATATTAAAGGGTGAAGAAATAGGTATGGTTAATGGATTTGTGCCTTGGAGCGAAACGAAGGACCCTCAGGCTTGCAATACGGACGACCCTGTTAATTTCATCGACGTGTCGCGGGACCCCGTCAGGACTCCGTTCCAATGGAGTAATGGAAAAAACGCAGGTAACATCACAGACTCAACATTTGAAATACTTTATGTTTCCGCATGATTACCATTTAATAAGCCAATTCGAGACATTGTAACATAGTTTGAACTTTATGAAGGACGGCTGGCGCTGAAAAGGTACAAAATTTACACGATTGCTAATGTTTTTTAAGTAAACACACTGACATTTTTCCAACGTTTATATCGACAATTATTATCTCTTTGAAATAAGTCTGACTGACTAACAACAACAAAAACATATTCGAATCTAATGCTCATTGAGATAGAAACATAAGTACTTCTATTTATAGATTAATAACATTTAGTACGTATGTTAATATAATATTATACCATTAGCTACGTCTTCATTCGCAGAAGTTTCAAAACATTATTCTTTTTTCATAAACAGTTTTTGATAAATACTGATAGTGTTGTATATCTAGAAGAGTTTTCCTTTGTGCACAGCTGTATATATAATAATACCCCGGCCGGGTATTATTGCTGGCTTGGCAGGAGTGTCATTTGAGTTTTAATGTTGTCGAAATATAGTTTATTTTCACGACTTACGATTGAACAAATTAAGTTATTCTAGTGGTAACTATCAAATATTCATATATTATTATTACATTTTATTTATTATAAGCTATTGAATTGTTTTTAGTTAACCAAAATAAAATATGTTGGTAACTAATAAACTAAGCAAAGAACTGTTCGCCCGTGGTGGGAAATCAGCCTTATACTTTACATTTTTATACCCATCGTAACTTTGCAGCAGATTCTAATAATTTTATGGGACGTTCGACAAAATCTAGATAATGATTTATAAAACTTTTTGTTGGATAAAGATTAACATCGATATGTGATAACATTCATTGCACCAACTTACGATGTTATTTTAATATAACCCGCAATGGTGACTTAACTACATAATAATATGATAGTTAGACATGTAGTCTCGAAGTCTTTTTTGTGAATTATAATAAAGCATGATGTAAAAATGTTGTACAATATTTTGAGTATCAGTACTAAATTTTGTAGCCCATAACAGCAGTCAAAATAACTTCTATGGGATTTTAATATCTTTCATTATTTTATGGCGATTTTAGTAGTTTTTAATTTTTAATTCATAAAAATACATGTATATATTTTAGTTTAATTGCTGATAATGTAGCATATAAGTAAAAGTAATTATCAAAATCGATGAAATACATTTTGTGTTTGCATTACAAACAAACGGACAAATACTAGCGTTATTTTTTCTTAGTTAAGATTAGTGTGGAATATAGAATGAAGATGGTAAAGAATTATTTTTAAAATAATATTAAAGCTTTGATATTTATTTCAGGATTTTCAACCAATGACATTACGTGGCTCCCAGTAGCTGAAGGTTTTGAGCATCTGAACGTAGCTGCTCAAAGGTCTGCTGTTCGTTCGCATTATCAAGTTTACAGAACTCTAACAAGTCTGAGACTACGACCAGCTTTTAGACTTGGGAAATATGAATCTTTGGCGTTGAATAATGATGTCTTTGCATTCAAAAGGTGAATAAATAAATTATATTTTTAATGCAGCTCTTCACAAATCGCCTGTTATTCCTATAATTATTGCAGTGTTCATAATGATATTTTCATTAGGAGGCAGTTTTTTTTTAATTTTCCCTTTTCATATTGATACAAATTAGAATTATTTTGAAACAATATATAAAAGTTTTGACTTAGATTAAATTTAGGTTATTTTGAAGCAGCATAGAAGCACTGCACTCAGCAAGCACTATGCTGTGCACAACATCCTCCTCTATTGGATATTTAATAACACTAATCAAGTTTATTTTTATTTTAGATGGTACAACGATGATACCTATATTGTCGTAATAAACGTTGGCAGAACTTATCACGTGGTTAACTTGACTGTCTTTGACCTGGTTTTTGGACAGTTAGAAGTGGAAGCCAGTAGCGTTTTGTCTTCCAGAACTTATAGGTATGTATTTATTATATTTTTCTCTTCGTTATACTAAATATGACTTAGGTGACCATATTTGGACTATAAGAATGTTATTAAATAAGTTAGCCTTATTTAATATAATATAATAATAGTAGGCGATAATAAGCTTTGATGCAAAATTGTCTCATGTTTTCTCAACGAGCGCTTGCATTGTAGATTATATTAAAAAAAAATCATGTTTGTTTTGACTTTATGTGGGGCCTATATTAAGAGCTAAAGCTTCAGTGTCGGTCGTTTCCGGCGCTGATTTGCGTATTTCACTTCAGTGCTCCTGAGATGCGTACGTGTATAAAATCGTATATCCTTTAGAAATCTTACCTATATTAAATTTATCGAGTGCCTTGTTATAGTCATTTTATGAAATTTTATTATTAATTAACAACACACACATTATATATACATATTACTGATATACAACTTATTAGCACGGAGTTGCAGGGTACAGCATTAATACTTTTAATAATTTCATTCATTACTAAATTTACTAAAGGCAGAGCCTGTACTATCGTAACCTAAACATATCACTAAATACATATAAATTATACATAAAGTACATCCAGACTCAGAATAAATGATCGTGCTCATCACACAGTTTGTTGTCCCTGGAATCGAACCCACGACCTCTGTCTTAGCAGTCCCACTAACCACTAAACCAACAGGCGCAGAAACAAACATTGGAACCTTCACATAATATTAATTATGAGTTTTTTGTGCTTACAGTGACAATGTACCAGCCAGTTATTTAGATCTAGCTGGAGATGAAGCCCTTGTCCTACGAATGCAGGTTTGAAAAATAATTAAATATATTTAAATAAAAAAATGTACGGTCCATTCAAAATATTAAAAATTTGATATTTAGTCACATATTGTTTTATTTCGTTTACAGTATTCCTGTAATTAAGAGGATTTAGCGTAATAACTATGGCGTGAGATTAGAGGTCGTGTCGTTTGAGCTCCGTCCAGTACATTCTGCAGTGAGCCCATTTCTAATAGAAGCTTTCAAATTAACTGTATTGGCGAACAAGAAAAATAGTTTTGTATAATCCAAGTTTACAAATAATTCTTTCAAAATAAAACTTTATATTATGAATCCCCCTCCAGAATCAGGGCGAGGAGAGGTTTTGGGGATCTGGTTAACTCACCCAGTTAGTAAAGGACAACGAAAGATTAGCTTAACACCGATGTTCTGTGAGGCCGTGACATTCCTCTGGTCGAGCCGGCCCATTTGTCCCTAAGCAAGGCTCTCCCACAGTAAAAACCTTTAGACGTTCACTCACAATAACAACTTTTCTACGGAACGAAAATTATACGACTAAAAATTATATATATATATAATTATAAATTAAATAAGCTTAAGAACGGCAATAAATTCAACCATTACGTATAGCCGACTAAATGTGGGTGTAGTACACAAGGAGCTGTCTACAGGTTTCATCAGGTATTAGAAAATATAATCAGGTTGTCTAAAAGCAACATAAGCAGTTGAAGTACCTATATCTTATTTAATTCTTTTTTGCACAAACAACAAATCATTGTACAATGGCGGACTTAATGCCAAAGGCATTTTCTCCCAGTCTACCTTTGGGTGGTGGGGAAATGTCTGAGTAGGTGCATAAAATTAAAATTAGGTTACATACATACTGAGATACACAATACATTACATACATACCTATATCCTTATCCTATTTTCTTTGTAAAAGCCTCATGAAAACCAAAATAAAATATTTATCTTTTACAACACTTACTCAACCTAGGGTATTGATATATACTGATGTAATAAAAAAAAACAGTGACTTCTATAATAATTGATTCAGTCCCATGATCTTGTAATCGAAATATAATTAATCACACGAAACATTTATTGAACTTCTCAAAGTCATCGGTCGATGAAAGTAGCATTTACTAAAACATACTGCAATAGACACGGATATGTAACCTGTGTATCTGATAAGTCAGTATTTAGAAAAAAATTAACTACAGAATTAGTAAATATATTTTTCTTTAGACATGCTTTAATACTACAGTAGTCTGAAATAGGTGTATAGGGTTTGCATTATGTTTAATACAAACATTATACGTAGTAGTAAGAAATAACGTAACAAAAATCCAAGCGCTAAAGCATCTAATAATGATTCAATGAAGGTTTAATTTCCTCCACATTAGCGACCTATTTGGTCACGTTTCCATGTAATGATGAGTAAATATGTTTGATTACCCGTGTCCGATAGAGCGCAGCACTGAATTTATTGCGTTTATTGTGTGTCTTACACTGTATAGCTATTACGAGGACCATGCATGTGTCTACATATGAACTAGATCACGCTTTACCCAGAATGAGATTAAACGAAAAATGTAAAATCGTTATACTCGTATTCATATCAACAGATAGCAATTTTTTATATAAACTAAAAAGCAGGTTATTTTTGTGTAGTATTTTTGTAACATTTTTTTGCATACATTTGAATATTTTATTCAGCAGAAAATCCTATTTGAATATAATTATATCTTCAATTTATAATCTGTAGAATATTTAAAACTGCATGTCTCAACTCACTTAATAAATGTTAGCGTCGGAATAGTACTGTCCACTATGAAAAGAGCTGGAAAATACGTCTTATTGTTCCCATTCTACGAATCCCATATAATCGTGCCTATTGAAATTGTCGATACTGTAATACAATTAGTACAATAGAAATATTTTGAAATGAATGTTACTTATGCTTTGTTATTTTATAAAAATGATCCATAAATCAATAATATTTAAGAGTCATAAAAGTAGTCTTAATTAGTTAACATTTAACTAAAGTTACTAATTACCAGAATGATAGAGATTGAAAAACTTTGTAATTATTTTATTGAAAATTTATTTTAAGATACAAATGTATTACCATCATTTTGTAAATGTCTTGGTCAACGTTGGAATAATTTTTCATTTACTTCTTACACAGTATTGTTATGAATCACACACACATTCACACACACCCACACATTTCAGTTCGCTTATATCAGAGAAACTGCAGGGGTGTGAGGGGCGAACCACCATCTTTCGCCCCAAGCCAACCTCACCTGCCCGCGGTGCATCCTGCTAAACGACGAACGAGGCTCTGGCGACCGACGGCGGACCGATGGCGGTATATCCATCCCAATAGGCGTAGCTAAATACAACAGGCCGGTGACGGGCAGCAGCGTTACCGGTGCGACAAGCTACGCCCTGCGATCGCCAACCCGCCTGCCCAGCGTGGCGATTATGGGCAAACCCCCTCCCATGCAGACGCAACAAAAGCCACGGCCCCCAGTTCCCGGCGGCCCCGCTATTCCTGGTCATGGTGGCGACCACGGTAAAGGCGGGGCAGGGGGTGCGAAGAATCTCCGGGCTACGGGAGGCCACCACAACCGACTGACCCGTACTACTGGCTACGTACAACGGACGCACGCTACGGCTAGACTCGCATCTGGCGCAACTTGAGGTGGAACTTGGGAAGATTAGGTGGCATATCCTAGAGCTATGTGAAGTCCGAAGAGAGGGGAGGACACCATAACCGTCGAGTCAGGCCACCTAATGTACTTCCGCGAGGGAGACCAACAATCCCAAGGTGGGGTTGGGTTTCTGGTAAATAAGTCCCTATCTGACAACGTTGTGGAAATTTCCAGTGTGTCGAACAGGGTAGCGTACCTCATTATCAAGCTCACCGAGAGGTATAGCCTCAAGGTTGTGCAAGTGTACGCACCGACCTCGGCACATTCGGACGATGAGGTGGAGGATATGTACGATGACATATCGAGGGCCCTCCACTTCACAACTAAGACCCACTACAACGTTGTTATGGGTGACTTCAACGCTAAAGTGGGAGTACAGAATTGCGGCGAATCGGTAGTAGGATCCCATGGATTTGGAAGCAGGAATCATAGGGGGCAAATGCTGGTCAACTTCCTCGAACGGGAGGGGCTGTTTTTGATGAATTCTTTCTTCAAGAAACAGCCCCAAAGGAAGTGGACGTGGCAAAGCCCCGACGCTATGACTAGAAATGAGATCGATTTCATCATGACGGATAGAAAGCACATATTCAGAGACGTCTCAGTGATCAATAGGTTTAATACCGGTAGTGATCACCGACTTGTCCGGGGCTCTCTGAATATCAACTTTAAGGCGGAACGTGTCTGTTTGATGAAATGCAGGCTCCGACCAACTCGGCTCCAAGCCATGACAGGATCTGAAACGTTCCAGTCAAAACTGGAAAACCGATTCGCTGCCGTGGAAACCACAATCGACGTAAACCAGAACCTCAAAAATGTGGTTCAGATCCTCAGAGAAGAAGGTATGAGATTTTGTGAAATGCAGCGTAAGGGCAGGAAGTCGAAGCTTTCAGAAAGGACCCTAGGGCTGATGAAGAAACGACGTGAAAACCCACCTGTCACTTTGTCGGCAAAGCGGACTCTAAACCGAGAGATCAGTAAACTCGTACGACACGACCTCCGGTGCTCCAATACTCTTTCAATTGAAAGAGCGATCGAGCAAAATCGGGGATCAAAAGTGTTCGTACGATCTCTTGGAAGAAGCCACCTGACAAAGTTGACTACAGAAAGTGGAGAAGTGGAAAGCTTCTATGGCCGGTTATACGCTTCGCATGCATCTCGACCTGATCCCGAAAATGAGGACTCTAGAGCCACATTAACACGTCACTACACCGAAGACCTGCCAGAAGTTACCATTGACGAAATCGAGATGGCTCTTAGACAGCTGAAAAATAGAAAAGCCCCTGGAGAGGATGGCGTTACAACAGAGCTGCTGAAGGCCGGGGGTAAACCCGTACTAAGGGAGCTCCAAAAGCTATTCAACGCTGTCCTGTTTGAAGGGAGAACTCCAGAAGCGTGGAGTAGGAGTGTGGTCGTCTTGTTCTTCAAAAAGGGTGACAAGACCTGAAACGGAGCTGAAACGTGGACACTTACGGTACGGCTGGTCCACAAGTTCAAAGTCGCTCAACGTGCTATGGAAAGGGCTATGCTCGGCGTTTCTCTAAGGGATCGCATCAGAAATGAGGTGATCCGGCAGAGAACTAAGGTCACCGACATAGTGTACCGGATCAGCAAGCTGAAGTGGCAGTGGGCTGGCCATATTAGCCGCAGAACCGATAACCGTTGGGGAAAACGAGTTCTTGAGTGGAGACCGCGTCTCGGCAAACGTACTGTAGGACGCCCACAGGCCAGGTGGAGTGACGATTTGCGCAAGATGGCTGGCAGGAGCTGGATGCGAGAAGCCCAAAATCGATCTAAATGGCGTGCAATGGGAGAGGCCTATGTCCAGCAGTGGACTGCGATAGGCTGATGATGATATCAGAGAAAGGGATTGATATTGTTTATGTTTCTAATATCTTGTGACAAGTGTAAAAAGTGCAGCAGCAGTAGCAACATCTGGAAATGAAATAAACAGGTCGGATAATATTTCTTGCATCAAATCGTTTAGATTGTCATATTCCCATATTATTTAACAAAAACAAAGAAAAGAAAATGTTCATTAAACTTGTCGACATTAAATATTTGCAGTTAAAAGTAAATTAATACTTTAATTTTTAAATGGAATTGAAGAATAATTTAAACTGTATTTGAAGCACTTCACTTCAAAATTTAAGTCAGTATGGCAGAAAATAAAAATTATGTTTTAAATATAAAAAAAAATGTAGGAAATAATAAAACCTTTATGTAAGGGTGTTGAGCTGGAAACCGTTGACGGCTACGGAAGATACTGTCCATGACTTTTGGGTGTAATACTAATGGCCTAATAAATTATGTAGGAATATCTCGAGACTCGGGGAGAATACCTTTTTACCGGCAAGCTGATAAAAAAGTGGTAGTGGCACACATAATTATATATTACGGTTACAGCCACTCTTCTGTTTTTAAAAAATGTTTAAATGTTTAGCTAATCATAAATTACTTACTTAAGTTTCAAATTTAGTCTAGAAGTCATTAGTATTATATCTATTTCATGTGATGTTCTTCTGCAAAAATATCTTGTAAAACATTTTAAATTGTTCTAATTAAAAAATAAATTTTAAAACCTGTGCTCCAGGTGCCGAAGATTGCCAAAAATTTAGATTCTAAACACAAATTCTCATTTCCAAAGTTTATCAAATATTCGCAACATTTTTACAGAATAAGATTTTCAGATATGGACGTCAGGAATACAAATATTACATTTGGCTTGGCTATGAATACAGATATTGTTATCTGCAGAAGGTAAATTATTATTTAGATGTGATTGGTAATCAGGTTTAGTATTATGAGTGAGGACTGTCATTATACTTTAATGCATATCGCAGGTATGGCATGGCACCAAGGAAACCTCGGTCAATTTCTGGTTTTACATTATATTAAATTCGTTCAAGTTTGGTAAAATAATTTCACTGTAAAGTATTGTATATCAAGGAGAGAATGTACAGATACAACTTCAGTAAATAATGTATGAAATTTTAGCAAAAGTTACTTCGTTCGTCTGCGGTATTTCCGGACCGATACGACCTTCAAACCTTCAAGAAAAGAGCTTACTCTTTCCTAAAAGGCTGGCAACGCGTTTGTGACTCATGAGTTGCAGACGTTATAGGCGGCGATGGTCACTTTCCAGCAGGTGACTCGTCTGCCCCCTCTACATAAAAAAAACGACAGAAGATAATTTTAAAACGTGAAGCTCTGGTGAGTATGGCGGATGGGGGAGAGCTTCCAACCCCAGCTCTTGCAGCTTGGGGTCGCGCGTTGTCGTGAAGGAGCAGTGTGGCCAGGACCAGGGAGACCAAAGCGGGTTGCAGATGTGACCACCAGACCTTGCACCTACCGACTATTACTTTTTCCAAAATTTAGACAACTTTTTTGTGGGTAAAAAATTCTATTCCCGAGAGGCAGTACAAAATGCCTTTGAAGAGTTTGTTGCCGCCCGTCCAGCTGATTTTTACAAGAAGGGCTTCAATAAACTGCCAATGCGTTGGCAAAGATGCGTCGATTGCATGGATGATTACTTCGAATAACAGAAATAAAAAAGTTTGAAAAAACAAGTACTTTCACTTATTGCATACAAAACGGCAATTTCATAGGTAAAGACCTATTATATCCAAAAATTATTTACGTACGTTCACGTTGAATATTGTGCACCTATTGTATGTTACTGTAACATAATAGCTGATTATTCGTTCTTTTTCTTAATGGGCAATCTTACCAACTTAAAAATCTTGCGTGCTTGATTTAAAGTGAACCTTATGTTTTGCGATAACTACAATATTAATGATATTTCTGCAGGAACATTATGTAGCTAAATATTAGACACAAAAATTAAAATTTTAATTCTTTTTATTTTTCTTTTTTATTAAAAAATCTACTTCTCACTGAAGAAGGTATAGTAGCTCGTTTAGAAAAAACTTTGCCTAAGCCATAACACAAATAAAATTAATACTTTAAATTGTGGTCCTACGTCGGACGGAAATATTTTTCAAATATACCTGAAATTTGTTGTTGACGTGCAAAATGTTCCTGTTGAATTTTTTGTAGTAGGTATTTTAAGGGAATTGTGGTAGAATGTGGACGTAAGCGCATTGAAGTTGCTTATAGTTAATGGTTTTGTAAAATTTAATTATGGATCGGTAACTGCTCTGTACGATACTTTCAATTAAGTAGGTGTAAATTATAATAAGAACCTCACACATCTCATACGCAGCCGTCTGATCCCAAACCAGGCGGAGCCTGCATTATGGTAACTAGACTGCTGTTAAAACTACCTCTATATTTCTTATTATATTTAAATAACACTCAGACTCAGAACAAATGATTGTGCTAATCAGACAGTTTATTTTGTTTTGTGTGGTAACCGAACTTTTGACTTAGCAGTCAGCATCACTAACACTAAACCAACAGGGCCGTAAATGATAACATTTGATATTTCAAGGGAGATATCGACCTATACACATTTATGTATATCTATGATACTTTGTGTAAGTAACCTATATCTCAAAATATAACTAGAAGATAAAAACATATAACTACTTTGCTTACACAGCGTGTTACATAAAGTAGCGTTTTGTTAATCGACACATAGTGTTGTAGTTTAAAAACATGAAAATGCTTTTCCTAGTGTAGGTATATAGCATTATGATTACATAAAATTATTTAACAATCGTATTTTTCAATGTATAGACTTAGGGACCTACCAGAGAACCTCAAAATGATCTTAAAAAATAATAGATTATATCAAATTTTAAATTTTGCACTTTAAATAATAGTTTCATTTTCCTTTTTTTAGTAAATTTTCACTCCCTATTCACCAGTTTAATATTTGAATTAGGAATGTCCGTCCTATGATAAATGATAAACTAATTAAATAATGCTAAGATGTCTGCATAAAATTATTAATTGCGTTTTTTTTTACTTCGGGGAAACCAAAATGTATTTGTTATCCGTATCCTACTGGCATTACTGATTAGAGAAATCACTAGGATACGAATAGGAGGGACAGTGCATATTCGTATCCTAGTGATTTCTCTTATCAGTTAGTTAGTTTATCATGATTTATACAGAAAAATCTAATGATTTTTGACTCAGAATGATAATCTAAATACACTATTTTAGTATTCGTTACACCGTCCCTGTATAATATATCAGTTTCACATCAGGACTACATTACAAATCACCTAATTATCCTAAAATTTGTAGCGCTTTAGCCTAAAATTCATAAAAAGCCGGTAAAGCGCTAAATTTTAATAACAGAACAGCTGCAACATCCTGTAAGTGCTGGCCATTCTGTTAGAGAATGGTCTTGTCTACTTTAAGATAAAAATAATCATAAAAAAACATTTTCAACAACAAGATACTTGTAAAATTCCTACTGTGACAAAGTTGTAACTTTTCTTTAACCTACAGAATTTTATTCATATCTGACATTATCGATCCCTTTGACAAGTCACCTACCTCGATAATGTTTCAATAAGTGGATTTGCCGATGTGTGGTCACTTGAACTTCTATATATATAAATCATAGTTGTTTTCCGATTGTCAATGAAGGAGCTAAAATGAAGAGTATATTACTGCTACCTATTTTATTAGTTCTGTGTAGTGGTAGTGTGTTAAAAAACAATGATGAAAGGGAATTGGATTGGTGGGAAACAACTATTTTCTACCAGATATATCCTCGTTCTTTTGCTGACAGTGATGGAGATGGTATTGGTGACCTAAATGGTATGTATATTCCTATGTTGTTGGGTAACTTTAATTAAGTTTTTTTTAGTTATGATACAAGTAACAAAAAAGCTTAGACGTTTGTAACAGTTTTAATTTAAAACTATCCACTTCCGCTATCCAAATATTATACTCAGTTAAGAGGTGTCCTTATAGAATTTTTATAGGGATACTTTTTATTTTATTTTGTGATAGGCATTTGCTTCTAGTAAACAATTGAAGCAGGTGCCTATCTCAGATCAGGTTCAGATAATTTTTATTTATTTTTGGCACACTATTGTCAATTATATACATAAAAAAAAATTGATTATTATTTATTAAGTTTAACTTTGTATAGTTTTCACTCGATATTCAAAAAATGTTAAACCTTAGTTATTATGTTGTTGTTCTTATGTAATAAATATGGATTCTTATGTACACATACGAAAGTTTACATAATCAAGTAATAGGTATTGAAGTTGCACTGACTGTGGTGACTCCAACTATTGTGACCTGATTAAAGTGTTAGACTTCAAATTTAATTATATTTCGAAGAACTCAAAAGTTTCAAAGTTTAAAATTGATTCTGTTAAAAGGTTTTTTTTTTAATAATTTGAACTACGTCATTGAATCTAAGGTTTAGTGAGTACAACAGTTACAATATCTTTATATCTTCAGGTATTACATCAAAATTAGACTATATCAAAGAATTGGGAGTCGGAGCCATTTGGTTGTCACCTATGTTCCAGTCACCTATGTATGATTTCGGATACGATATTGCTGATTTTTACGCCGTTCACGATGAGTACGGCACTATGGAAGATTTTGAAAATTTAATTGAAACTGCCGACAAACTTGGTTTGTACCCAACAGCTTATTAAATGAAATTTCGTAATATATACAGTATACTTTTAGGAATAAAATGTCAAGTACAAAGTGAGCATTATAATTTTCATGCTTCATGATTTCGATTATAATGTTTAGAAAGCTGTAATCTTTGTTAATCCAAAGTCTACAGACTATAACTAAATTCCAGCTCTCATTATTTTGTTTCTGAAAGGAAATATTGTAAAACAGGTATAAGAGAAATATCAATTGTTTTTGCTTTCTGACCAAACAAGTAAAAACTTAGGTACTTGCCAAGGTCTCGGGTTCGATTCCCGGGTCGAACCAAATGTTTGTATGATCTGCAAATATTTGTTTCGGAGTTTGGGTGTTTTCTATGTATAATATGTATGTATTTACCAAAAACAGTATATAAGTACCTATTGTATCAGTCAACCTAGCTTTCATAGTACAAGCTCTGCTTTATTTGAAACTCGATGGCGCTGTGTGTCTCATGCCCGAAATATATTATAAAAAAGAACTAATATTAAAACAAGTAAATGAATTAAATGTCATTTATTACACAGGCATAAAGGTAGTTTTGGATCTGGTGCCAAATCATACGTCCAACGAAAGTGTTTGGTTCCAAGAGGCTCTTAATGGTAACGAGAAATATTATAACTATTTTGTGTGGGAAGATGGAGTAATCGATGAAAATGGGAACAGACAACCACCAAATAATTGGGTAAGCATTGAGCCAAAACATAAATATGACAAGCATTCTTTAATGATAAAAGTCAGATTTTTTTAACTTTTCTATACCAGATTATTAACATTAATAAAAATTAAGCTTGATCAAGAAAACAAAACTAAATTTAAATAATATTCTAAAATAAAACATCTTGTTCATACTTTTATTACTTTTCATATTGTCGAGCAGTGAACGTCTTTAGGCTAAAATGATGAAGATGATACTTTTAAACTCCAACATGAAATGAAGTTTATAGATTTCCCTTATAGATTTAATTTCAATGATAGTTTACTTTGTAGATAAGCCATTTTAGAGGTAGTGCCTGGGAGTGGAGAGAAGAGGTTCAGAAATATTACTTGCACCAATTCGTTGTCGGTCAGCCCGACTTAGACTATCGCAATCCTGATGTCGTCGAAGAAATGAAGGTAATATTTTAGATCAAAATAGAAATGTCAGTGTATGCAGTTCCTCCTGAATCCGACGTCAAACAATATAGCTTATATTCATGAACGTCTATTTGTCATGAAATTGTAAAAATCACAATATTAATTTGAACCATAATTATTCGTTAATCATGTATATCCTATTAATCAAATGATTAGGTGCAACTTAATTATATTTATATTTTATTTTAGAATATTATTCGCTTTTGGTTGGCAAAAGGTGTGGCAGGATTCAGAGTAGACGCCGTTAACTGCTTATATGAAGTTGATAAGAATCTATTCGGTGGTAGATATCCTGATGAGCCCCTATCAGGCAATATTGATGCTCATCCCGAATCACACGATTACCATAATCATATTTATACCAAAGATCAAAATGAAACATACTACATGGTTTACGAATGGAGAGAAGTTTTTGATGAGTTTAAAGCAATTGATGGCCTGACCAGAGTGATGATGACAGAAGTTTATGCTAGTGTTCAAGATGTAATGAAATATTTCGGCGAAGGCGATAAGAAGGGCGCTCAAATGCCGTTCAATTTCGATCTAATAACTGACGTCAACGAATTTTCATCAGCTTACGATATCAAACGAGCTGTGGATAAATTTATAACCTATAAACCTCTCGACAAACAAGCAAACTGGGTGGTAAGTTAGATGTTTATAATAAGTAAACTAAATTTACAACTAAAAGCACGTGTAAACTGAATGGAATATTTTGCAGGTCGGAAACCATGACAACAGCCGAATGGCAACAAGATACGGATCATCTTTAGTTGATGGAATCAATATGATTGTGTTGTTACTTCCGGGTGTTGGCGTAACATATATGGTATGTAAATGAATTAGAGATCTTACTTCTATCACAAATAAATACTCTCAACTTTGAGTCTTTCTTCAATGAGAAAAAAACATAATAAAATAAATACTACGTATGTTAGTCTAAATATATAATTAACTTAATTATTAATTAATAATTTTTTTTAGTAACCTTTCGGTATTCGTACCATGGGATTCTATTCTACCCTGTACAAGATCGTTAAGTCTTAAGCTGTAAAAATATGATCAAAAATTCTTTTTCAAGGGTGAAGAACTCGGTTTAGTGGATGGGTACGTCAGCTGGGAAGATACGGTCGACCCCTCTGGATGTAATACTAATGACCCAATAAATTACGTTTCTTCATCTCGAGACCCGGAAAGAACACCGTTCCAGTGGAATGCTGAAAAAAATGCTGGTGGGCTTCTATTATTATTTTTGCTGTGCGCTATATAAGTGTTATTTGTTCTAAATTCAATCCAAGGGTCAGACGGCAATAAATGTATTGGCACAGATATGGTTTGAAATTGTAAAATACTTCCAGGAAAACCAGCAACGTGTATGTATGTCACATTTTAGTCTGCGAATGGTACCACATATTTGCATAAGTTGATAAAGTAAGAAATTAATGTTAAAGAAAGTTAAACACAAACTCATTGAAGTATTGTTTTAATTTCAGGTTTCTCTACGGCTGATAAAACCTGGCTTCCAGTTGCAGAAGGTTATGAAACTCTAAATGCTGAAGTACAAATGGCTGCAGAAAGGTCTCACTTTAAAATTTACCAAAAGCTGGCTAAACTTCGCCAAGAAAAGGTTTTCAGATATGGACGTTACGAATCTTTAGCTATGAACGCAGATGTTTTTGTATTTAGGAGGTTTGTGTTTCTTTATCACTTTTTTTGAAACATTAACCATTAAATCTCTGCATTACTTTAAGTTTAAACATATTTTCATAACTGTTGCAGGTGGTACAACAACGAGAACTATCTTGTGGTTGTGAACATGCGTGAAACAGACCACGAAATCAATCTATCTTACTTCGAAAATGTAACTGGTGACGTCAGTGTAGTTCTCAGAAGCATTCAATCGCCGAAGAATGAGGGGTGAGGACGGATTTGGAAACTTTTTATTGTAAAATCACTCATGTCATTCCCTTACCGAAGCTCACAGTGAGACTGAATGTCGTATTTGAACCGACTAAAACCTTAGTCTCAGTTCTTATCCTGGAAAGCTTTCCTGGACAATTTGACCCGCTGGGTCTAGGTATGCGCTTATGAATGTCAGTGATAGATTTTGTCTTCTCAGTACCTGATGTCAACTCAAGTTCAACGTGAGCACTCCACGAAAGTATTGAGTACAGTGTCCTTGCAGTAATATCTTTTGAGCACAAATTGATTATAAAGTGTAGAAATGAAAAAAAAACTATACGATACTAATATTTTTATTTATATTCACAGTGAGGTATTCAGCGCGTCGTCTCTGCCAGTGGTTGGCTACGAGGGTCTTGTGCTAAAACTGAATTAAAAAAAAGATGAACGGAATTAAATTTCATTCATCATTACGAATAAAGATAAAAATTCCAAATAAAGTATTTTTAATTCTCCTGTACCTTTTATATTGTAAAGGGATTATATTATGCAGCTTAAATAAAGAATCGTTTTGAAATATAACTATATAAAATATAGTCGTAACAAGTTAATTTTGTTCTGTTTCGGCGAACTTTACTTACGTAATAGCGAATGGTAGTGGCAGTAGTACATATTTAAATGGTCAAGTGTTTAAACGATACAATTAGCTTCTAATCAGATTTCATTTCCATTTACAAATAATATTTCAGCACAAACTAACTATTTTAAAATAAGGTATCATACCTTTTTTACCGAATTTGTTTCGTTATCGCACATAAAAGTAAACATACAAGTCACGAAAGCTATAAATCTATCCAAATTCCGAAATTTACAGTACTTACATTTACAAATTCGAGTACATTTCGGTTTTCTTTCAGTGAGTTTCACGAGTAGAAAAAAACCTTCATTCGGAAGTGAAAATTGGATACTTGTCAGAGGTGTCGGTAACAGTAACAGTTACGCGAGTTCAATTGTTTTTCCCATCTCAAAAAATGTCCAACGTGCCTAAAAAAGTTTTCACTTCAACAGAGCTGTCGGTAACGGTAACAGTGTCGCGAGTTCAAAGGTTTTTCCTATAAAATACATTATTTTGTTTGTTGTTTAAAATGTACAACGTGCCTGAAGAAGTTTTCACTTCAAAACAAGCACAGTAACTACTGTATATGCATGACAAGTTCAAGGTAGTATGTGTAGATAAACTATTTACTTATACTTTAAGCTCGGCACGTGTCTCTGGTCTGTGTAGGTCGTTAGAATTGCATTGTTATGGAATCAACGCAAACGTTGTCATGTACATAATGTAAAGTTAAATTCCCTTCGATAAATTATACAAGGTATTTTTCTTTACTAGGTCGGTATATGCATAATCCATGTTAAGCAACTTTTTCGTGGCTTATCACCGAGTAGTGAAGTTAGCGGTGCTCAAAATTTCTCCTACCCCTATTTCTGGAAGGGTTCTCAAAGTGCGGCAACGCACTTGTGACTTTTGAGTTGGTGGTATCCATAGGCTACGGTCCGTCCGTGTGGTGACAGACAAAAAATACGCAGTGTCATCACCCCTATTTATACCGTGGGTGTCAGCACTGCAAAGAGAAGGAATACTTGAAACAAACACTATATCAACCCGTCTCGCCAACATAGTACAGTAGGCCAAACCTTATTTCTAATGAGAGGCCTATGTCCTGCAGTAGACAGCTAGAGGCTGTTGATGATGATGACCTAAGTGTGTAATTATTTACTGAGTATGTTTTTTATGACGGACTGCACGAATAGCGTAGTGGTTGAAGCGGTCGCCATGCTTCCTACTACGCCGAGTGTTGTGGGTTCAAACCCCACATGGGACGACACTTTGTGTGATCCACTAATTGTTGTTCTGAGTCTGGGTGTTCTCTGTGTCCGTTTCATGTATCTTTGTAAAGTCCCCCGCGACACAGGATATATTCCTAATGCGGGAGTTGTCTTTTTTAAAAAGAAGAAAGAAAGAAGAAGAAGATTATAAAATTTTGGGGAAAAAGAATGTTGCACAATATGTGTTGGAATTTATATTGGAACTAGTATGATAACTATGTGTGGTTTCGGGCGGGTAATCGTGACAACAAAGGCGTCGCTTTGAGGTTTAGCCTGGTATTAGAGGATGATTTCATAAACATGTATTGCTTTTGATGTTCGGAATTGCGGGTACTTACATAGTTATATGAGAGAAGTATGATATAATAATGTTACATAACATTCTTGTCATTTCGTCAAACGGTCGTAAATCGCTTATATATCAAAATAGTTGTTTTGTTGTTTAAACATGTCAACTGTGTTTTTTGGAAGTTTCTATATATTTCGGTAGTAACATATAGAGACATAGATTTAATTACTAGGTATGGAATGGACAATCTCAAAGTACAGGAGCAATACAACTTTTTAACCGACTTTTAAAACACAAAAGAGGAGGTTATCAATTTCGTTTGTTTTTTTTTAAATAATATGTATATCTATATATATAAAAGAAAGTTGTGTTAGTTACACTATTTATAACTCAAGAACGGCTTTACCGATATGGCTGAAAATTGGTGAGGAGGTAGCTTAGAGCCAGGAGACGGACATAGGATACTATTTATTCGGTTTTTTTTTTTGTATCGGCGTCGATCACCAGATGACAACGGTGGAACTGTCACAACAAAAGTGAAAAGAATGGATTTCGTTGTCGACAACAGTTGGATTGTTCCATATTCGCCACTTATTTCTAAAACGTTAAAGACACATTGCAACGTTGAGTATTGGTCGGAAGATCATCAGCGTTGTTTGTTTTTGCGCCTGATAAGAAAACAAAAAATGTCGTGTATCACAAGGTACTTAAGTGAAGAGCAACCTATGTACTGAAATGCAGAAACAATAATAAATGATTAATGTACTTCATTTTTTTTTTCTGAGAAATAAATTAACTTACTAAATTCGAAAATCGGCTTATTTATTGCCTTTAAGGCGGAACAGAGTTCGCCGGGTCAGCTAGTAACATATATAAAAATTATAACTACGAAAATTTGCATTAGCTGATTTTTATAAATTCCAATGGTAATTGTAAAATGTTAAGAAAAACGCAAAGATAGAAATAAAATCCCATACATTTTTTACCTATTTACTAATTGTGTGTTGTTGGTCTCTTAAATAAAATATAAAATACTTATTCAGTGTCTGCAGAAAAGCGTCAGTAATAAATTAATTTTATCCACTTCTGTTACATATTAATAGTGCAAAACGCATGATGCTTAAAGTGGTTATATTGATAAATGACTTTAATTCAAGGTCAGTGTATTACATACGATACCGTATGTAAAACACTAACCTTGAAAAAGATTTGTGGTACTTATAATTAAAAGTTCCGAGTTATCAAGTCTCTACAATACAGGAGTGGTGCAAGAATCTTTTCCATATCCAGGAATAAATTACGCAATTTTTTATGCCGCGATCAATTTATATGTTAATAAACGTATAGCGAATTAATTTCTTCTAGGATCTACACACTGTTGGTGAACCCGTGAAGCACAATATATAATAAATTGCATTTATCACGAAGCCCTAGTAACAGTTCATGCATTATTTTGTCAGCTGCTGTATTTTATCGTTGTTTCGGTGTTCAATTCTATCTAGACACCACTAAATTGCAAGTTCTGATAAAATAGATAAAACGTTAAAATGAGCGTGCCTTATGATACGACTCATCTGGTATAGTAGTTCACAAAACGAAATAAATTATTCAGACATCAAGAATTCAGAGGTCAAACAAACGCTGGCTACCTTTGATCCTTAATGAAGTGACCTACCTTTCACACTGACAGCTTACTTCACGGTAATGTGTTGTATGATTTATGACTTGTTTTGTTAAAGTTTAGTACTATAAGTATAGTGGAGCTAGATTCAGTCAATGTGTGTGATGATCGATATGATAGTTCTAGCTAGTTTAGGAAATCGATTAAGTTTAATTTGCTTTTCCGTTCGTGTAGTTTATATATTATTATAATAAACTTACATAATTAAATCCCAATAGCCAATTTTAATTCGAGGTTATTTTGATGAGCTTATTTGTGTAAGTGGTTGGTTTAAACCTCCTTTCTAAGGAGAGGCCTATGTCCAGCAGTGGACTAGTATAGGCTGTTGATGATGATGATGATGATGATGATGAATCTTGGTTTAAACGAGTATGATGTCTTTATTAGAGATTTAAAAAAAGAGAGAATGAAAACAGAGCGTACGTAAACTCATAGCAGCTACATACTAAAGCTTGTTAAATTATGGTCGAATTTCAATCGTCTACATACAAATTATTAATGTTACTGTTTCCTACTCAAATTTATGTTTAAATAGGAAACGGTAACTTTGTATATAAACTTGTACTTGTATAATAAATGTAAAGGAAGTTTGTTTGTTACGCTTTGTTTGTCTTTTAAATAAGAAATAGGTTCTCGGCCACGTCATATGACGTTAAATACAAAAATAACCTGTGTCCATTGGGATGAGAAACCAGGTTATAACTTTGAATAGCAAATAAGTAGGGAACTACGTGGGGCTCTTGGTTAAGTGGTAACCAAGTAGGTTAACATATCGCAAAGTAAAGATGGATATGGATGGGTGACCATTCTTAACATGTTGAGACCCCTCCATGTTAATCCGTAGGTTGCACCTGTGTTAATCGTTACGGGTAATTGGAGCCCTAAGAAGCCCAACAACAGCGGGGAGGTCTGTTGGCAGTGGCTCTGCGTAAAAAATCGCAGACAGGGCTCGGACTAAGGAAGGAAATACTTAGGGACGATATTTTTTTTTTGATCGCTCCCGTCCGGGATAACAGCGTTACATATTAGTGTTAAAACTGCGATTGGTTATCAGCACTGATGTAATTTAACGGTAGGGGCAGATGTTAATAGTAGGATGTGGGGTCGATTCTTGTTGCCTAAAATCTAGATAAAGCACTAAAACACTGTCATTTTGTGTTTGTAATATTTCATATATATATACGGCTACCTAGATGTAATACACATTAATGAAATGTACTGTAATTGTATTGTGGTTAATAATTTTAGAAGTAACAAAAACATTCCTAGCTGAGTCGAACTAATACGATTGAAACAGCTTTACAACGTACCCAAAGGTTATATTGAAAGGGATAAAAAAGTTCTGAGATTTTTGCCGAATAATTGGTGAAATATGAAAAGATTAAAGGACACAGAATAACTTCATTTCTTTTCTGTGTTAACAGAAGCAGTAGAGATAACGTATATTAGACTATATGTTAACAGATACTTGATTGTAAATCATTCAGTTAATACGATTAAAATTAATGTGCAAATCGGTTATACAGATGTTTTAATATCATTTGAGGAGGCCTTTCTTAAACATTGTTAAATAAATACT